CTGATTGCTGGAATCGCTGGAAACCCATTCACGGGAAAAAGGTCGTTTTACCCATGCAGTGAATGGATCCCAAACACCACAACACTGCAGTCAAACAAAAAAGTCGGACTCCGTTTTCATATCCAACAGTTGGCTATCCCGACTTGAAAAAAGGTGCATGGCGCATACCAGCTGAGTGTGTTTCATCCGGAAGAATTAGCTGCAGAAGCCTAGTGGCTGGAAACTGTGGGTGACTCAGAAAAGATTTGAAACTAATCCCTAGCAACACTTTACGCCACTGGCAGATTATCTATGTCGAAGATCCTAGCTGATAAACAAACTCTAGTAATTCTGCAGTAACATACTCAGATAGAGGTAGCTAAGGGCTCAGAGTCTCCCAGGGCTTCGGAGTTAAACATATTTCAATTAAATGAACTCTTTTTTGGTTACATACCTGTTTCGGCAACGATAGAGAGGTCCGGCACGGTGGTGAGAACATTTTCATCCTCGCGAATATTTGCCACTAACTGGTCGGCTCCATGTAAGTCAATGATCGGAACTGGAACCCATTTCTNAAAGTGGAAACTTCCACAAACCACTTACCTCTCCGCTTATGATGTTTGGCTAGGGCTATGCCACATAATGCCAATAGAAGCGTCAGACGCATCGTTGTTATGAATGCGTCAGAAAGAGAGCTGACGCGCGTGTTTCTGAAGTTAGCTAGGATTTTCTGGGCTCAAAAGCAGATGAGATTGGAAAGCTTGGTGAGAGAGTCAAATCAAAAAACAATAGAACACGTTTTCAGAAGCCGAAAACAACAACGCGAAGGCATGAGACGAAGATGAATAATGCCCAAAGCGACCGGGGGCCCTGGCACAATAACCGCATGTACTCGCGGGAAATCTAAGTTAAGCAGATGGGAGGGGAGGATCAAGCCAGGCGCTTTCTGCTAACATGACATGCCGCCGCGATTGGAGGAGCATGTGGGGACGACGTACGCCCCGACGACACTAACTCGATGTGACTTTACCGCACACAACCTGCCATAGCGCATCATCAAATCCTCATAAGCTCGGTCGGCCTAGTCAATCACATCATTGAACGTTTCCTTCATCATTGAGCAACAGAAAAGGGCAATATGGGCTTCAGAGAAAAACGTCTATACGACTAAGAAAGACAAGAAAGCAGCAGCAAATGCTGCCCACCAGAGGAAAAAGCCAGCGGAATGTTCCTTTCTCCGAAAAAGGAAGAGCTTTCGTCAAACCAATGACTCACACAGCGATACGACAGCTTACACGACAATCGACGAGCCGGAGGATTTGAGGCTCGGGAGGAGTCGTGCGATGGCATTACCGATACGTCAAGTGAAAGGGCGCAAACAACGGGAGCGCGATGTCTTGAGGAATCGCGCAAAGGGTGACACGCTATTGATAGAGAGGAGCTTACTCTCTTGGAAGAGACACCAGGAACCGGTTCGAGAACGAGGAGAAAAATGCCTTTCAACTAGTCGACCAGTGAGTGGTATCGTGGTGGTAATACATGGAACATAGAACATATTCCAACAACGGAAAAGGAAAAAAGTAGAACACCTAAAGGAATTACTTCCCAGTCCTCTCAGAAGAACCTGTCTACCCGTCTTGGTAATGGAACAATGGGGAAACCCCAGCTACTGGAGGTGTTTGACCAAGGTTTCTTTTCATTTTTAATCTGGTAGCGCGAAAGAGAATTTCAAAGACGTTCCGTGACGGGTTCTTTTCGCCCACCCAAATTTAGAGTCACTTTTTCATCCGGGGAACTCGTGAATGCTAGGTACAACGCTGAGCCGAATCGACTTCTTGGGTCGACGCCAAACCCCCAGAGCTTTGACTCGCGCACGAGCCGAAGTGTTCGAATTACATTCACGGACTACATAACTAATTAAGGCCTCGTAGGCGTGAGGCCCCGCATGGCGATCGACCCTTCTGAGAAACGTCTCCTCTGTGGGTGAATGAAGCCTTTTCTAATATCTGGATTAATTGAATCGGAAAAAGCGGAAAGGTTTCTCTTATGCTACATCAGAAGCAGTCCTCGAGCTCATTCTCATCCCAGTTCATTTGCCCCCATCCCTGCCCTGTCCTCGGCATCAATTCTTTCGTGACTGGGACGGGATTATTTCATAAGGGTAATTCATTTGATGAGTTATTTTGCCATAGCGCCGGAAACCATTCACACACGACGAGGCCGACGATGTGACAGCATCGAAAACAACGTGGGAAATAAAGGACTGAGTGCCAGGGTTAAATTAACTCCACCAACTATTAAAACCTCATAGAAGGGCCTCCCAGAGCAGGATCCCGAGCTGAAGAGTCGGAAACACTCGAGAAAGCTCTCCATTAGGGTTCACTGGACACATTCGTTACATTAGCGCATGAAGAGGCCTTCTTGTGGTTAATCAACCACGATGACACTAAATAATTGGTTTACAAAGGACCAACGAGGTCACAGCCACAGATGACTCTCCGGCTTTTGTCTTTAGACTATTGGGAGCCTCGTTTTCCCCCAGTAATACAATGTTTGCCAGCCCATTGGAGCCCAGTCGATCATCGTGAGCCCAAAATCGTTTTTATATAGGCATAGGATCATTTTTCATTGATAATCATCCAATTATTTCCACTGAACGATTCCAATGACTCAACAGAATGGGCCCTGGGATCAGTTCACGTCCACGATTCCCACCTCCCTTCTGCTTTCATTTGGGATATTTGATAGATGTAGCCTTTGCCCCTCCAGTTACTACACAAATAGTAATGTGGTCGCGGTGGAAAGGGGATATCCGGAGGAAAGGGGGTGCCACGCGACCCTATATGACATTCACTGTTAATGACAGGACCACGAATATCTAAAATGTCAATCGTAACGACTGGTTACTCATAACCTATTCAAAAGAGGCTCCCAGGCAACATCGAGAACAACTAGAGAAAGGGTATACCTGAGCCAAACTGATGCTGGAAGTGAAAAGGAGGGCGAGGCGGGGAAAAATCTCGGTGAGATGAAACGATAGAATGACCAAAGAAGGATGAACGTAATACTTGAGCAAATCTTTTCGGAAATGAGGTACCACCCGATATATCAATAAACAAGTTTTGAGATCGTTCAGGACCAGGTGGAGCAACCAGAAGTGGATACAGAAGCGGAAGGTACGGACGGGGCAATTTTACTGGCGTGTTCTTGGAAAAAGGGGGCACGAGGGCACGGGGGAGCTCTATGATTAAAAATAGGGACTCTCTCCGAAAGAGCTGTAATCAATTAACGACATAAGGAAAAAACGCTTTTGAGCACGGAATTCCAATCGAATTCAGAATTCTTTTGAGGGCTCAAGAACGACAGAAAAGCTTCAGAACTTCAGGATATACTTAAGAACAACAATTAGAACAAGTGGAAATGGTCTTAGAGAGGACGACTCGACTCGTCGTACTACGGATTCGACTGGACCATAGAGGATGATGATTAGGGAAGAGAGGCGTTCCTCGTCGGAGAAGTGACAACGAACGAAGCAGTCAGCCGTGGGGGTTGTTTTGGCATGAGGGGTGAAAAGATCGAGAGAGCGGGTGGCGACGAAATGAATGCGCGAGAGGGCGATGCTCGAATGCGTGTGACAAGCTAAGCAGTAATCGAAAAAGAGGCGGGCGCAGATACGGCCGCCGCCCGGAGAGAGAGCGGACAGCAGCACGAGGGGAGGACGGTGACGCGGACGCGGAGCCCACGACGACGACGACGACGACGAGCCCCCACAAAGGCTCAGAGGAGAGTTCTCGTCGGTCCGTTGGCTAGGCAACAGCAGCAGTGTCAAGTCACACTTCTATGTCGATGTCGTCTTCCGCTTCTAACGCCTCAATACACGCAAGCGTTCGAGGGAATGTCGACGTCGGGCAAGCCGAGCCAGCCTGTCATGTCCATCTGCTATCAGCTGCGACTACCCATTTTGCTGGCAGGGGAGAAGCATTCGGCTCCAGTGAGCTACTAGTTCAGTGACCATTGAGTGAGGGAGCAAACGAATTCCAGAAGTTCATAGAGCAACTGAATTAGATAGTAGGGTTCGAAAGGGAACCAAGTGCAATCCCGACAAAGTCCCGTATTGATGTTGCTAGGTGGCGTGGCCAAAGCTTAGCACAATATCTGCCCACTTAAGCAATCGGCCGAAGACATTTGGGATTGCAACCCCCACGTCATCCATCCATCCATCCATCGTCATCGCAACCAACCAACCAACTGGTTACTCAAGGGCGATACAGTAGCCCTTTTGAAACTTCGCGATAAATTTCTACAAGTCCTTTCAGAGGTCTCTAGAGGGATTTTCGCCTTCCACGAAACTCAATCTTGAGAATCATCGATTACAGCGCCTCGTGGGGGAACGGCTTCAATCTTCCTGGCCGTCAGCACCATTCACTTTGATTGCTGGCTTTCTATTGCTAACTTCGTTTTTAGCATGATATTTTGCAAATATCTAAGCACTTGGTGCTTTTCAGGTTCTTCCCAATTGGGGACGAACTCCGCGGACCTGGGGATTCAATATATTCTCGTCCAGGGAGAACAAGTGGAAGCAACAGTTAGAGTCGGACTGGCCGCGAATGTTGGATGGGATGTAGTACCTGATAGATGAACCGCATTCTCAGCGTTTTCATCAACAGCTGTAGTATGTGAGCTACAATAAACAACTCAGTAAACAATTGCAGTGACATAATTACATCTTTGTTATGAAGGTTATGCAGGTCTCCGTCGAGATGACGAGAAACAATCTACAGACCCAGCAGTTTTCCTGTAACTACTGCAGTAGTGCACTAGGCGATGGCTTCTGACGGCGTTCTCCCTCTTGGAGGCATTCCTTTTCTGTTCACTTGGAAAGTTCGTTTTNAACGGTTAGAGTCGGACTGGCCGCGAATGTTGGATGGGATGTACTACCTGATAGATGAACCACATTTCCAGCGTTTTTATCAACAGCTGTAGCATGTGAGCTGCAATAAACAACTCAGTAAACAATTGCAGTGACATAATTACATCTTTGTTATGAAGGTTATGCAGGTCTCCGTCGAGATGACGAGAAACTCTACAGACCCAGCAATTTTCCGGTAACTACTGCAGTAGTGCACTAGGTGATGGCTTCTGTCGGCGTTTTCACTTTTGGAGCCATTCCTTTTCTGTTCACTTGGAAAGTTCGTTTTTGGAGGATTAAGTTGTCAGCTAGTCCTACTATCGGCCAGCAAATCTGCCTTTCGGTCAACATCAACGAGATCTCTTCAGGGACCCCTGCTTCATGTAGTTTCCTACTTGTCTTGGTCATTCTCGGGTTGTTGCGTGCAGTGGTTATTCTAACGCTTTTTTCCTTCAATGTACTTTTCCGGGCGTACCTTTTTTTCCTATGATAGGTTTTGTGAACAGACTAAAGTTCACTCTAAACAGAAAATAAATAAATAAATAATTAAATAAACAAATCGAAACACGTGAAGTCCCACCTACTTTTTCGGACATCAACTAAAGTTAGTTGCAAGTTTGAGGACATCAATTTTCTCGGAATTTTGACTGGCTTTTTGTTTGGTTACTTTCTAAATGAGCTACCAAAGAGATCCTCACTGCTTTTTATCGACACCAAATTACCCTTCCACTACTTTGAACTCAAAAACTCACAAAAGCATCTACTCT